TTGTTACAAATAATTTGCTAAAAGAATGATCAAAAAATGTTGCCTCAGAAGAAAGTTAGTGAAGATTGTTGTATCTCTCCATGAAGTTCTTAAGCCCTTGTATAAGAGATTACTAAAATGTTGTTACAGGTTAAGCCTTCTGTGGTTATATTTTGTTGTTAGAGATTTCGACCGCCTTCTGCATTACATCCCATCCAGTCTGGTGTGCTACTCCTGGTTTATCAGTGTTACACTTTGAGATGTCGCACAGTCGTGATTGGAACTGGGCATTCCACTGTGTCCAAAATTTTGAATGGGGTGATACAGCTGGAGTTAAATTCTTAACTGCCCGGTGGGGGGGGGGGGGGTACTGCCAGGCTTCTAGAAGTACAGGGAGACCCCCGTGAAACCTGGAGATTTCAGTCACAAAACCTGCATCTCTGATTTTTTCAACAAATTAATTTCTGGATGAGGCTGGTGTGAGCTGTGGAGCCGGCAGGGAGCAGGGTGGTGACTGTGGAGAGAGTGGGTTTCCAGCTGCTGGGGTCTGTCTGGGTGGGCACGGGGCTCATCTGCCTCCCTCCAGGTTGCCCCGGGACAACTCAGCCTTGTGCAGGATCCAGGAGAAATTCTGCCACTTGTTGATCTCTCTCAAGATTCATTTCTGAGTCTGGATCATGGCCAGTGACATATCTCATGTACTTTCTTTTCCCCAACTTGATAAAATTCTAATCTCTAAATCAAACTCAGTTCAGTTTTTTCCCAAGGAAAAAAATAGGTTACTTAGACTGAGGTTTAGGGGTTTTGTTTTTTGCTTTTTGGGTCACACACAGTGATACTCAGGGGTTACTCCTGGCTCTGCAATTACTCCTGATGGTACTAGGGGGACCCTATGGGATGCCTGGAATCAAACCCGGGTCGGCCGCATGCAAAACACCCTACTTCTAGTAGTGCCAGGAATCGAACTCAGGATATGTTACATTCAAGGCACTCTCCTGACCCTTCGAGCTTTCTCCCTGGCCTAACCGGCCTCTTATTTTTGGAGTTGGGATTCACTCCTGCCTCTGTACTCAAGGATCACTCCCCTATCAGCCATGTGCAGGGCGAGCACCTTACCTGCTGTACTGTCTCTGGCCTCCCTTGCCTTTTTTTTTCCTTTCTGGTACACCCAGCAGTGGTCAGGGGTACATGGGATGCCTGGGATCAAACCCAGGCTGGCTGCACGCAAGGCAATCATCCTGCCTGCTGCACTGTGTCTTCCCTGCCGCCTTCCCCCATCTTTCTAGCCTAGCTTTTATTCCATGAACACAGGGAATCTTTCCTGATTTCATAGGAACGTCTGATCACTGTCACAGTGCCTATATTCTACGCAACTCAGGGATTATTTACAACTTTCTAAAAACATTTTAGAACCCTGCTGTTCTAAAAGTGGCTCAAGAAAGAGCCATTCAAGTGGCAACGGAACATGCATGAGGCCCCAGACTCAAAAAAATAAGGCCCCAGAACTTAAAAAAGCAAGGATGTTTCTGTGTGGAGAAAGTATTCATGAATTCTGTTAGCTCCTTCACCTGTTTGAGCTGTCCTGCTGCCCCCTCCCCCCCCCCCAAAGTCGGTGCTGTGGCCACACACAGGCACTGTCTCTATGAAGAAGTGGCACAGCTCTTTCAGGACAGTAGTAGTTAGCTTATCTGTGTCGGCTGCAGAAGTCAAGTGTGAAACCAGTCTGAGTTTCCAGGGGCAGAGGAGGAAGTTGGAAAGAGTGTCATGGGCTGGGAAGTCCAGGCCGTCTCCCTTAAAGGGGCTGCCCATACCAACCCTGGGCCTGGTTACCCCAGATTCCTGCCAGGCTGTTGAGAAAAGTCAACTAACTGGCTCACAGTAGCAATCCAGGGCTCCAGGCCATACCCAGCAGTGCTCACCCCAAGGGTGGTGCTGGGGATCAGTCTGGGGTTCCCATACGCAAAGGTGCCCGACAGCACTTTGAGCCGCCTCCCCACTCCAGAAATTAGAGGCTCTCGGCCTAGCTCCTGGCCGTGCCCGTGGCTACCTTATCCCCTGTGCTAGAAACGCACCTTGAGCCCCAGTCCTGTTGCTTCAGATGCTGTGGAGGAACCCGCAAACTCCCAGCCTGGCAGCAGAGCAGGAGACTGGGACTGTGATGAGGGATTTGGCAGTGGGCAGTCCCCATCCCTGTGCTGCAGATGGTCACCCACATGTCAGCAGTGATCCTTGAGCACTGCGGGGTGTCGCCCCCAAGTCAGCTAAGGGTGAGGCATGTGCGACAGGGGAACCCCTCCCACACTGCCTGGCCCTGCAAAGGACGCTCGGGAACTGTGCTCTCAAGCTGCTCTCAAAGGGTGCTCGAGCGCCATGGCGCCCTTGATCACACAAGCCCACACCCAGCCCAGATTTCGTTTTGGCTATTTGGGTAAATGAATGGGTGTGGGCTTGTTGACACAAAGGGTGGCAGACAAAAGACGACCCTGGTAGGGCATCCTTCCCGGAGCATGGGCCTCTTAAAAAACTAGTCATGCTCTCACTCCATCTGTCACCACACTTCCCTGAAGCTAGACAATCAGGAAGGTGGCTAGCAAGGAGGAAAACAAAGTTTCGGGCTGGTCGCCAGACAGCCCCCTTGAGGCATCTGCTTCCTTCCAAGTCTGTCTCGGGCCTTGACCAGGTAGCTACAGCAGGAATGTGCCCCGTTCTTTTAAGTTTGGGGGTGCGAACCCTGACAGTGCATGGCTGCTTCTGAGCAACACCAAGATTCCCGGGGCCCCCCCAGGTCCCTAAGGGAATGCATGTGTTTACTTTCTGAGTTAAAAGCCCTCCAGTCTTCTTGCTGCAGCTCCTCTGCTGCCCGCCTGGTGCCGCACCTGGCAGTGCTCAGGGCACTGAAAGGATGTGGTACGGAGTCAGGCTTAGGCCATGAGCTGTACTCTGGCCAGCCCTCTGCCTTGCACTTAGCTTACAGAAAACTGAGTCAGTCCTTGCCAATTCCTATTTGCTTTAACTGCCTGGCATACCTTGCTTATGGATTTGGAAAGTTCAGTTTGTCTATTTTTATAAACACTTGAGCCAGAGATGGCAGTGAAGTTCATCAAACATTGTCTTAATGTCCACCCCAGGTCATTTCCTGGGCTGTCATAGTCTACTGAGTTGTACTGGTGCCTGTGAAGCAAGCGGCAGTTTACGTTTGGGAAGTGCTCCTGTCTTTTCTGGCTGATCACACCATTCCCAGACTCACTCCCACCTAAGAAGGCTCTGGTATCCTAGCCAAATCAGAGGTCCGTGGGCGTTCACAGCTGAGCTTGGGGCTGGAGCATATAGATAGTATCACACAACCAGCCAGGCTTGATCCCCGGCACCCCATGTAGCCCCCCAAGTCCTTAGGCAGTGACCCCAGAGCACTGAGAAGTCAGCTCCGAGCGAGCAGTCTCCAAGACCAGCTCTCAGAACACACCTACAGTCTGATCTCACTGACCTACTGGATCTTATTTCAGACCTCCCTCTGACCTGGAAACTAGGACAGGGTATATCATCCCAAGGGTGGGAGTACCCGGAATTACCCCAAAGGCTCTTGGAACTCGAAGCAGAGACAATGTCGAAATGTGCTCGGACAGTGCAGGCAAGGGAGGCCATTGGCAGAGGCCAGCTTACAGGGGCAACTCCTGACCCGCAAATATTCCAGGCCCTCCCGGTGGATGGGCCTCTGTCATCGCCTTAAGCCTCATCAGGGGCTGGAGCGATAGCACAGCGGGTAGGGCGTTTGCCTTGCATGCAGCCAACATGGCCGACACAGGTTCGATTCCCAGCACCCCATATGGTCCCCTGAGCACAGCCAGGAGCAATTCCTGAGTGCATGAGCCAGGAGTAACAACTGAGCTTTTTGGTGTGACCCAAAAAGCAAAAAAAAAAAAAGCCTCATCTTTTTTTGCCGGAAGGTCTAGAGCTACATGAGGTGAGGCGCTGGCCTTGCGTCCTGCCAACTGTGCAGATCCCCCGCACCATGCAGGTCCCTTGAGCACTGTGAGACACTCATGTTCCCAGGAAATATTTGAGTCCTGTCCAGAACTGACAACCAGAATTTCCCTGCTCTTCCCGGGGGGTGTGATGTGGGGTGGGGTGGTGTGTCACTAGTTTGGGGAGAAGGGGGAAGGCAGAAAAGCAGGAGGTAGTAACTGCAATACAGGTAGAAATGGCAGGTGGCAGGCCAGAGCCATGACACAGCTGCCTTGGGTTCAGTGCCACCACCATATGATACCCCAAGCCTGCCAGGAGCGTTACCCTGAGCGTTACCGGGTGTGACGGCCCCCCACCCCCCACCACCACCACACCAAAAGAAGAAATGGGAGGTGACAATCTAGGAGAATGAGTACAGTTAGTGCTGGAGAAAGTTCCAAAAACCCAGAGGGCACGGTTCTCCACATGGAGATTAGCCTATGTCCACCTAAAAGCCTGGACTCGGCTTTTTCCCCTCTGGATGAGCCCGTGTTCTCTCTTGAACACAGTACATCCCTCTCTTTATCCTTCTCTTTCTCTACATTTCTTCAACTAAGACTAAAAATAACCCAGAAGGGAAGGCTAGAAGCTGCGGGGCATCAGGTGTGAGACGTCTGTACACTCGCTTGAACGTGCACGCCACACGCACGCACATGCGGAGCACATCCCAGCCATCTGCTCAGCACTTAGCCAAGAAACACCCCAAGCCCCTAGCTACTGTCACATGTCACTCACAAAAGGGGCCCAGGCTAGGACTGAGGAAAGGATTCTGATGCCCCAGCCACTAGGGAAGCCCAAGGGGACTGATGGCCACCTTTTCTCCTGACGTGCACAGCGCCTGAGCCCCAGGAAGTCTCGTGCGCGTCTGAAAGCTGTTCTCTGGCCAGTGCTTGGCGTGACAATGGCCGGTTCAGGTAGGTCCTCCCTCCCCGCCCCCCTCCAGCCCCCGGCCCACGCCACTCTGCTTCTTCCTGCGCCTGCGCTCAGCTCCCCTCAGCGTCAGTTACTGCTCGCAGGGACAAGAGTAACGAGTAACTTTATTGATCAGTGGTTTCATATAAAGTTCAAATCTTTAGAATTTTGCCCAGACAGACTCACAAGCAATACAAAGGTCTTTCTTAAAAAATAATAAAAGGGGGCAAGTGGAAGGGAACTGATCTAAACAGTAGTGGCATTTGTAAATAAATTAACAAAAAAAATTTAGTATACCATTTATTGGTGACAAACACTAATTTTACATTCCATGGGGAGAAATAAATTTCAGAAAAATGGAAGCAGTGCTTGACTTGGCTGCCTGGCGGTGCCCACGGCCCTGTGCCCACTGACAACAGACATAGCGCGAGAGAGAGACACGGTCGTTCTTTCCAGCCCTACACGGAGACGGCAGACAGCACGAAGCACGCACAGGACTCAGACTGGTCGTACTACAAGATCATAGCCTGGGGTGTAGTGCCAACGACGGGCCCTTTGGAGCCCTACCGATATGCACACAATTGTTTTTATAATCTTTGAGCCAAAGATTAAAGTCCATCGGTTTGAAGTCTTGTTGCATTAATAAAATACAAAAAGAACCAAATGATCAGTTAAAGTTTAAAATTCCAAAAGTGTCCAGTTTATACAACTGGGAACTTCCTCGGTTTCTGAGAAGGCGGGGCTGGCCCAGCTAACCAGAGGGCACACAATTTGCATCACTGAAGTGGTCCTGGGTTAGTCCAACCAGTGAAACTGCGCAAGCACATACACGGGATATGATCTCTGCAGGTTATTGTTGTGGCTACAGAACTAGATACAATTGAGAAACTAAAACTTTATAGTGTTATTTCAATCAAAAGAAAATGAAGATTATTGGAAGAGAAAGCAGGGGTGAAGAGGCCTTAGCGCAGGAAAGATTAGCTTGCGCTGAGTAGGAAGCATTTGATTTTCTCGTGCTTGTCGCTCTGGGCCAAGCTAGAGCCTCTCCAACATGGGTGTCCAGGGTTTCTCCCAAAGCGTTTACAGAGCCAGTTTGAGAAGGGGGTCGAGCTGTTCTCTTCCACACGGCAGGAAAAAAAAACCCAAAATCCTTCAACAGGCTGGGCCTGCTGTAAGCCTGAGCCAGCCCCGCTGCCTTCCGAGTCCTCGTCGGCACCAGCGTCTCCAGTTCTTCCCCCGTCACGTCTCTCGGCCCACTGGAGGTATCAAATTCTAAATATTTTTCAGTATTGAGGTTGGGTTTTTTTTTATAATGATTCATGGCCAAAAGTTCAGCACCTCCCACACCTTTAAGGGAGAAATGAAAAGGAGACCGGATTTGAAATGAACATCAACTCCACGTTAGGATTCAAGCAGTTAGCAGGCACTGAATGGGAAGGCCAGGAGCACAGGCTGGCCTGACTTGATGCTAAACTATAATACAGATTTTCCAAAATGTACCGTCATGGGAAAACAAGAAGGAAGGTGTATACAGCATGTATTTTCAGTGGCACGAGAAAGAAAGCAGGGAAGATACAATATTTGCATCAGGAAAGCTACACGGGGCTGGGAGTACAAGAGAAAAAAGGCATCGGGCCCGCATGTGGCCAACCTGGGCTCACGTTCCTGGAAAGGGCCATACGTGGTCCTGAGCACAGCTGGGCGTGGCCCCAAAAATCAAAAAGGAAAAAGAACAGCTGGAGGAAGAGCCCTAAGGTTGATGTGCATGTTTTACATGCAGGAAACTGGGGTTCCATCTCCAGCAGTCACCCCAACCAGCTGGGGCCCAGTGCCACCGCACCCCCAAAGAAAGATACAGGGAAGAAAACGAAGGAATAAAAATGTGCTAGGGAATGGGCAGAATGGGGAATGCAGGGACAGAAAAATACTACAACAGCATGCCTCTTCAGATGGCTTCTGCAGGGCCAAACTGAAAATAACGGGTAAGACACGTGGCCTATGGGACTCGATTCCCAGCACCACATAAGCACCCCTGAGCCACACGCCAAGGAGTGAGCCCTGAGCAGAGCTATGGGCCAGGGAAGAATGAAAAAAGCAACAAACAAAATTTTATTTTGAGTCTGATAGCACAGTGGGTAGGGCGTTTGCCTTGCACGCAGCCGACATGGCCGACCCGAGTTCGAGTCCTCCACCCCTCTCGGAGAGCCCGGCAAGCTACCGAGAGTATCTCGCCCGCACAGTAGAGCCTGGCATTCGTATGCCAAACACAGTAACAACAAAGTCTCCAATGGAGACGTTACTGGGCCCGCTCGAGCAAATCGATGATCAACGGGAGGGCCTTTACTTTACTTTACTTACTGTTCTAATTAAAAAAAAAAAAAAAAACGCCCAAGCCTTGTAGGAGGAAATGACAGGAAGTGTTTGTCACTAGCCTTCGCTGAGCAGAAATGTGAAATCAACACAAACAAGCAGCAGAACTGCCTTTTCACTCACACAGACATTGGTCCATTTCCTGTTCTTGGCATCTCTGTACTTGGTTGGTCCAACTCGGACAGCAACTTTAAAATGTTCAGGGCGGCCTAGCAGGGGGAGAGAGACGTGAGCGCCAGGAAGTGCTCAGCCCACAGAGCCGGACTCGACACGGGGGCCCAGGGCTCCCTGCAGCACGGCAAGAGGTGGCCCACCGAACAACTCTGTGTCTATTTCAAGTACAAATTCAAGAATGAATAACCAAAATCCATGTTTATCTTAAATCAACTACCACTGTTCGTTTTATCACACATTTTCTAATATCTACTAATTTGACTCTGCAAAGGCTGTTCCCACTCTGGGAGCCCCAGAGTGGGGCGGGTGAGAGCCCTCCCTACCCCAAGGGACCCAGCCCCGGCAGCCAACCTCCACTACTCAACTGCCGCCACACTCCAGGCCACTTTCTGGATCGCACGGCCACAATAAGACATTCCTACCCATTTTCTATAATTACCACACCATATTTGATGGGATTCAGACATTAGGCAACAAATCATAGAAAAAAAAATATATATATACCTACCTCTCGGAGAGCCCAGCAAGCCCATACGGGCAGAGCCTGGCTCTGCTACCCAAGCTCCCTGTGGCGTATTCGATATGCCAAAAACAGTAACGATAACAGGTCTCCCTGAAACAGCCTCCAATCTTGGGAAAGACGAGCAAAAAGAGGCTGCTAAAATCTCAGGGCTGATGGGGCTGGAGCGATAGCACAGCAGGTAGAACACTTATTTGCCTTGCATGCGGCCGACCCAGGTTCGATTCCCAGCAACCCATAAGGTCCCCTGAGCACCGCCAGGAGCTACCCCTGTGCGTCGCTGGGTGTGACCCAAAAAGAAAGGAAAAAAAAAATCTCAGGGCTGGGAGGAAGAGACTTTACTGGCGCCTGCTCAAATAAATCGAACAACGGGATGACAGTGATGACAGGGATGACTGATTTGTCTGCAGGGCCAGGGATCAAATCAGGTCCTTCTACATGCACTAGAGCTGAGAAACAAGATTTCTTTTAATTCTTTGAGTTCAGATCCCGTCTTTATGCCTCATGGCTTCAACATATAGCTACCTCAGCTCACTCAGGTTCAGCTCCTAGTATTTCCCTGTGGTAACAAGTGACTTCATACCCTGTTGTAAAACAAAACTCGACCAAGTTCCCTTGTTGGGAAATATTGTCTTTGAGACTGGCTGGAAGCACTGCACTCCATCAGTGCATATACTCCTGTTTACTGAAATAACTCCTGGATTCTGTGTATTTGGTTTTGGCGGCAGTGCCAAGGATTTACCCAATGGGGTACACACATGCAAGGCAAGTGATCTACCACTGAGATATATCCCTGGCTGCCTCAGAACAGTAATTTGATGGGGACAGAATGCCAAGACAGGTACTTGCTACTGTTGGCAGCACCTGGGCCTGCAGTGCCCGCAGTGAATACGGCAACTGGCAGTGTCCGGGCAGAACCTGTCAGCACGGGCAAGGGACAGGGTGCCAAAGCCCTGATCATCGACAAGGCAGGGATCCAATAAAGGGAGTAAAAACCAGTCTTCAGAAATATGAAGTCAGAGGCTGGAGCTATAGGACAGCGGGTAGGGAGTTTGCCTTGCACGCGGCCAACCTAGGTTCGATTCCCAGCTTCCAATATGGTCCCCTGAGCACTGCCGGGAGCAACCCCTGTGCCATCGCCAGGTGTGAACATGAAGAGCCAAAAAAAAAAAAAAAAAAAAAAAAGTCTGGATCTGGTACAGCTGCTCAGGCACTCGCCTTGCACACAGTGACCTGGGTAGCATTTCCCGCACCCGCATCTAGCACCTTAGGCCCCCGCTGGGTGTGGCCCCAGCAGCGGGTGGTCCCGCCCTGCTCCCGGCACACGCACCATATCGTGGCAGGACTCCACGTCCTTCCCGATGCCGTGGCTGATCAGAGGTGGCTGAGAGGAGCAATTGATAAGAGATACAAACTCGTTCTTGTTGTTTTTGGGGAAGTCTTTATATTCAACCTAGAAGAGGAAAGAAAGCGGAGGCAAGCGAGGGTCCAAACAAGGATGCCTGAGCGTGGCCAGCCGTCCCGGGGCCAGCAGGAGGAATCAGTCCTCCGACAAAGACGGATGCAGGAATCCGGCCTGGGAGATGCCTCTCAGAGACAAGAGGTGTCTCGCCCTATCCCCTTTCTCGTCTTTATACCTCCTTAAATACTTTCTGAATTCAAAACTATATATGTATTTATTATATATATATACATATATATACATATATATATGAAACCCACTAGACTGAATTGTCTGAACTTTATTATGGAAGGACGAGGGTTCTCCCTCCCTCCCTCCACACTTGTCACCGCACGGCTCTCCACCCTCCTCGTCCATCCCCCTGAGCCCAAGAAGCTGAGCGCGGAGTCCCGCAGTGGCCTCGGGCGCGGGCCTGACAGTTACCTGGAAGCCCTGGACTCTGGAGAGATAGTCCAGCTGCTCGGAGGGTCTCGTTAGAGGTCCGTGGGACATGGGGCCTGAAGAGACGTTACTCTTTAAAACGGTCTCGGCGGTGGGCGAGGAGCCCCCATACAACAGTTCACGGGCTATCATGGCAGTTACCGTGGCCTTGGCAGGATTTGGCGCCGCCCTGCTAAAATCTTTGGTGTGATGTCCTTGACTCATTCCCACGGCCTGGGCGACCTCGGGCACCATGGGGAGAATCCCAGCAGGCAGCTGCTGATGGCTGAGATAAGGCATCCGAAACTCCTCCTCCTTATTGCCTGGGAAGGGGTGGGGGCACATCAACACACACACCCCCGGGAGACGGGGGGCCCCACGCCCGCCAGAGTGACCCCGACACCCAGGGGCCCAGCTGCTCCCCAAGGCCCCCTCCAAGGGAGAGGGCGTGAGCACGGCACTTACTAGTCCCATTTTCATCCCCGGGGCCTGGTTCAAAGAAGGTTACTTTTCTTCCATCACCCGATTTCTTTACTGGTGTCTTAGAGAAAAAGAAGACGATGATGACCATGAGCATAAATCAGACCGCTGGAAATTGCTTTCTGCTGCTATAGGCTACATGAGCTGGGCCCAAGTTTCGGAAAAGGCGGGACTCGGCTTGCTGAGCCGCCCCGAGGTCGCCAGGCACTAGCCGGAAGTGGGGGTGTCTCAGCGGGCCGGCACGCCCGACTTCCATCCCCAGCCCCGAGCTCACCACATTTGGGGTCACACCACATTTGGAACACGGTTGACAGGGACACAAAAACAGAAAATCTGAACTGAGAGCTTGCTACCGTCCCGTGCACCAGTGGCGCAGCGAGAGGGCTGTGCAGGGAGAGACCCGGACAAGGCCAACTGGACCTGCTTCCCCTTGTCCCCAGAGATGTGTTAAGTGACAAAAGAGAGAATAGAAATAGAAACAGAAACGCAAACTTTCCAAACATGCATTTTTCCCTAGTTGCATTGGTAGCAAGTTCCTTGCCCTTGGGCCACCTGGCCCGAGGCTGTGCAGTGCAAGGACCCCCAGCTGAGGGTCTTGCCGCCTGGGAGCTTCGCCCTCTCTCCCACTCCGCTCCTCCTCACCCTCGGACAACGCTTAGGGAAGCAGCTGCAGATTGAATTTAAATCAAGCTTTGCTGGCGTGGCCCGAAGCCTGTGTCTCGGAGCACCGTAGGAGGAGTGTGCTAGGGCTGCAGACTGCCCCCTTGTAAGCAGGGAGGAGGCCAACCGTGTGCCTGAGGAGTTTCACGTGGCCAAGCACGGTTCAATCTCTGGCAACACATATGTCCTCTAAGCTTCCGCGGGAGGGGTCCCTGTGCCCCTTCGGGTGTGACACAGCAACAGTCCAGAGTGAGCGATGGGGACTCCGAGCTGGCACCAGGTGGGCTGCCAGGCCCGAGGACTGCCCCAGCATGGAGCCATCAGGCCGGCACGGAGGTGGCCCCAATTCGGAAGGGGGTACTGGCAAGGAGACAGCCTCCGGGGACACTCCCAGCGGGGATCGGAGGACCATACGGGGTGCCAGGGGCCGAGCGGAAGGCAGCGCACGCCCTGCTGTGCCATCTCCGGCACTCCACAAACACCCCAGAAACACCCAAACCTGGTCCTGACCCTCAAGCCGGTGTCAACCGGTAAAACCGAAGCCTGCTCCAAGGAACGGCCTCCCACGCACTGGCCCGGCCCTCCCCACCAGCCTTCCAGCAGAGACAGAGCCCCCAAGGGTCAGCAGCCACCCCCAGCAGAGGAGGAGGAGGCCAGGGCCGCCCCGAGTCACCTTCTCCTCGGACTTGAGGGCCGGCTTGGCGGGCTGCGCCTGCGGAACCTTGAAGCCCAGGACTTCCAGCATGTTCTCGGCCGCGTTGCGCTTGGCCACCTTCTTGTTGGTGCCAGTCCCTTCGGCGGTGTGGTTCCCCACCTTCACCTGCAGGAAGAAGGGCCCAGACGGTGACCGAGCTGGTCGGGAGGCCCAGAGGAGGGAGGCAGGGCCCGCAGAGCGCTGCCCGGGAGCGGGCTGGCACCGGCTGCCAGAACCAATTACCAGCAGCCATTGTTCAAGGTCGCAATTACTCAGCATCCAATTATCTAGGCTTATAATTACTTTAATTAACAGAGGCAGCAGAACCGAAAGCTCTTCCTTTCCTCAAATACTTGTGATGAGGCTCTGGGGTTCTGAGGCTCTCCCTCACTGTGCCTGGGGTCCCAGGTCACGCGGAAGGACGGGGAGGCGGCGTTGCCCGGACCCGTCACATCACAAAGGAGGGGTCCACGTGCTGTGAGAGACGGGACAGGCTACGCGGACACCGGCGGTCACCGTGCTGCGGCCCGCCGGGGGGAGACCCAGAGCCCCTCATGGAGCTTTCAGGCCACTTGTTAATATAAACAGAAACATCGACTCGTGCAAGAGGCTCACTCAGCCAGGCCTCACCAAGTGGCGGACCGTGTGGGCTGATCAGTGCCACTGCCGACAGGCCCACCAACGGTGCAGGTATAGGAGATGGACAAGGAACTACTGCGAGGGCTGGAGTGATAGCACAGCGAGCGGGGAGGGCGTTTGCCTTGCACACAGCCGACCTGGGTTTGATCCCTGGCATCCCACAGGGTCCCCCGAGCACCGCCAGGAGTAATTCCTGAGTGCAGAGTCAGGAGAAACCCCTTTGCATTGCCAGGTGTGACCCAAAAGGCAAAAAAAAGGAAACTACTTCGAGAGCAGAGACACACTCTTCGGGAAGGGAGAGAACATCACTCCTCGTAGTCTGACCAGGAGCGAAGCAAGAGCTCCCAGGCTCACACAGCAGACGCCTCCTCAAAAACGCCGGAAACGGAAGCGCTCAAGAGTCGCGTCTCAGAGCAGACCACAGGGCACAAAACTACCAGGAGAAAAGCTTCTCGTCACTGGTCAGCAGGATAAACGCCAAGTGAAATGCCAGCGAGGTACCAGCTCGCCAGCGAGAATGACCTCCCAAAGAGAAGGGCAGGAACATGGGCTGGAGCAATGAACGGCGGGGAGGCCGCCTGCCCTGTACACGGGTGGCCTGGACGCAAGCCCCGGCCGTCCACAGGGCCCTGAGCACCACCAGGAGTCATTCCCGAGTGTAGGGCCAGGAGCGGACCCTGAGCATCACCAGGTGTGGCCCATAAATAAAGAGATGAACAGAAACAGCAGGCGGCGGGGGGCAGTGCAGGCAGGGTGAGAGGAGAGGGGACAGCCTGGCTCGCTGGGGTGGGACCCGAGCTACTCGGCCTCGGTGGGAACCAGCACGAGACGACTTAGACAAACTACACCCTAGAGATCCGGCCCAGAAACGCCCCTCCCCCCTCCCGCTCTGCACGGCGCCCCCGACCCACCTGCATGACGAACTCCCTGCGGCGGGGCAGGCCGCGCTCCGTGAGCAACGTGTACTCGGGCTCCTTCTCCTTCTTGGCCTGCTGGATCTGGGCCAGGCGGCTGATGGGGTTCATGCCCTGGCCGCACTCGGGGCTGCTCTGTAGTGGAAGCAAGGCCCGGAGGCCCTCAGTGGCGCGCCTCTCTGCCGGGGCCCTCCGGTCCCTCGGGGCGCCCGAAAGGACCGTCGTCACCGTGAGGGACCGGCCACGCGGCGGGCGGGCGGGCAGCGCTTACCCGGACGATGGACTTGGTTTTCTTCTTGATCCGGGGCTTGGGCCGCTCCACCACGGGCAGGGGCGGGAGCTTCCGCAGCTCCTCCAGGACGGCGATGGCGGCGTTCTTCTTGGAGATCTTCTTGCTCTTCCCTTCCCCCTCCCCCACAAACTCCCCGACAGACACCCTGGTCAGAAAGCTCTTCATGTGGGCCGGGCCACTCTCGCGGGCGACCTGTTTCAGAGGGAAAGACTGAGTGAAAGCGTGACAGACACTCCACCAGCGGAGGGACACGCACGGCTTCCCGGGAGGGAGGGAGGGAGGGGCAGGACCCCCGGGAGTCGGCGGTGAACAGAACGGGGGGCCAGGCTCAGCCCGTGAGGACAGCCAGAAGGGACCCTTGAGCAGGTGTGGCCCCCAGACAAGGCGAGCCACCCTGGTTTCAGAGACAGAAACGAGAGGCGGAGGCCGGGCAGACGCCCCCTGCTCTGCCCTTCTGCGGAACAGTCAGAGGCTGCCCACAGCTGAGCGCCACCCGGGGCCGGGGGGACACAGGCAGCACCGGAGCGCAGCGGGCTCTGCTCGCAGCTGTGCCCGTCAAAGAGCTGCCACACGAGGGAAGAACAGCCTCTCGGACACCAACTGTCCCCGGCACGGCTGGGCGCACCTGGTCTCGCTTTTTCTGTGTTAAGTGTCTTTGGGGCTGGAGCGATGGCACAGCGGGGAGGGCGTTTGCCTTGCACGCAGCCGACCCAGTTTCGATTCCCAGCATCCCATGCGGTCCCCCGAGCACCACCAGGAGTGATTCCTGAGTACAGAGCCAAGAGTAACCCCTGTGCATTGCTGGGTGCGAACCCCCCTCCAAAAAAAGGGAAAAGAAGTGTCTTCGTTCTGGTCCTCAGTAAGAAGCTGATCACGGCACGGGAAGGAGAAGGGGGCAGGAGGAAGCAGACCCTCTGCCAGCAGGCGTGGCGCTGCAATGTTTTAGGCACGAAGCCCTTCCTTCTACTGGACTGTTAGCCACGGTGCCTAAAATTTCTTTTTAAAACATGGTGGCCAGTGGCAGGGTGTTTGCCTTGCGTGTGGCCAACCGGGGTTTGACTCCGAGCATCCCTTGTGGTCCCCTGAGCACCTCCCGGAACTAATTCCTGAGTGTAGAGTCAGGAGTAACCCTTGAGAATTCCCGGGTGCGGCCCAAACACACTTTGTTCCCCCAAAAGTAAACACGACTGTTAAGTCCCATCAAGCACCTCAACCCCCGAGCCCCGCCAGGAGAGATCCCTGAGTACAGAGCAAGGAGCAGGCCCTGAGAACCACCAGGTGTGGCCCCAACACCAAAGCCAATTACAGAGATTCAACACCATCACAACAAAGAAAAGCTGAGGAAATGTTAAAGACTGAGGGTGACGAAAGAAAACAGGTCAACTAAATGCAGTGCGTGATCTTGTCTCAAATGCTGGAACACGAACACACACACACACACACAGTTTATTAAGGACACACCAAATGCCTTCCTGAAGCATGATGTTTGACTCTGTGCAACTACTTAATTACAACAAATCCGGTCCAAACGGCTTTCCCAGGGAATGAGGGAAGCACCAGAAGGTGCCCCCCGGGGGGCTCCAGAGGCGAGTGGCAGGGAGCCAGCACATCAGAGAGCCGGGCAGCTGCCCTGAGTCGCAGCGGCCAGGACCAACCGGATCCATGTGCAGCCACACACACACACACACACACACACACGTCCACGTGTGGTTCTATACATGTATGCGCAGACACAGCCAGGACAGGCCGCAGATGTCAAACCCTATCCGTATGTATCTGCTCATGTCTATCAAACCTTGTAAGGACACAAGCACTGAGAATGCTCCGTGAGCTCAGGGGACAGCGGTGCACCCGACACAGAGAGCAGGAGAGCAGGCAGAAACGACAGAACTCAGGAATTTACTGGGCGAAACGAAAGCCTCCAGGGAACGCCCGAGCAGCAGGTCAACAGCGGCTCAGACTGGCAGGAAGCTCCACGATGAGATGCAAGACATCTCCAGAAAAACAGAAGATGGGAAGAGACCCCAAAATAAACACCCCAAAAGAAAGCTCTTTGGGATGAGTTCGAGAGGAACACTGCAAGGGCCAGCAGCCCGGGAGGCACAGGAAGGCTGCCCTGACCCAGGAGAAGGCAAGGGCGCGACCCCCATGTCCCGGCTTAGTGCCGCCCTGGGCACTGCGACCAGGGACAGCGTCCCACAGTGCCGGCAGCACATGGGGCCACAGGGGCACCCCAACCACGACACACAAGAGCCCAGTGAGCACTGAACCCACTGGGGAGACACTGTCAGGCCAGAACAGCGGGGACGGTCGGATCCAAATGTCTCTTCCAAGCAGGACAGGGCACCTGCAGGTGAGCACTAGACAGCTGAGTACTCCAGCGACCGTGACCTGTGACCCCAGCAAGCACAACCCCACTGGGGTGGGCCACACAATGCAGCATCCCCAGGAGCACCACAGCCAGCCACACCGGCAACAGCGACAGTGACATGGGAAGGGGGACAGAATCAAAATTGGGCACAGGGGCCGGAGTGCTAGCACAGCGGGGAGGGCGTTTGCCTCGCAAGTGACCGACCCGGGTTCAATTCCCAGCATCCCACAGGGTCCCCCGAGCACCACCAGGAGTCATTCCTGAGTGCAGAGCCAGGAGGAACCCCCGAGCATCGCCGGGTGTGACCCAAAAAGAAAGGGGAAAAAAAAGCTGGGTGCAGGAGGTGGGCTCGGGAGGAGAGCACGGTCCCAAGTGTGGGGCCCCGGCACTGCAGTGGACAGCCTCCCGCAAGGAAACCCGCCCGGTGTCCCTCAGCTCCCACCCGAAACGGCTGGTCACTAGCCTTGACCATGAAGCCTCCACAATGGGCGCACTGGGAGGGTGAGCTGGACAGCAGCAACCGCCTGGCCTGGAGACGGCTTCTCCGAGCAGCATTTCTAGGGGCCGCTGAAGGAGACCGCGCCTCTGGGGGTACACAGCGCTTCTCAGGCTTATGGAAGCAGGACCCTCTCCGAGAGAACAGCCTGTGCAGGAGCGTGGGGCGCCCGTAAGCAGCCCGGCGACCCGGGCCACAGTGAGCAATCACTAGACCGGAAATGTGGTGGAATGTATGTGCTTGCGTGTCTAAGGCCCTGGCTGGGTTCGATCCTGGGCAGGGAGGAGGGGAGGAGAGCAGAGAAGGGGGTGCGGGGTGGGGGGGAGTCACAGAGCCGACTGGAAAACACACTGCCTTACTGAAAAGCAAAGGTTACATTTCGCATCTGGGGTTTCACGTTCATTTGAGCGTCAATTTTGCTTTCTGCTTTTAGAGCACAACCGGCAGTGCTCAGGGCTTACTCCTGCCTCTGTGCTCAGGGAATCACTCCTGGCAGGGCCCAGGGGGTGGTGTGTGGTGCTGGGGACCAAATCCAAGCCAGCAGCAAGCAAGGCAAATAAATGCCCCGCCGGCCGCCCATCTCCCCGGCACCTATTTGAAAGCTCCTTAGAAGAAAGCAATTCTGAAAAGGGCTGGCAAGAGTAGTCCCAACACGGAGTTCGACATGTAAAGTAAGCTTACCTCAAAATTCACAGGCAGGTTCCGTTTAAGCGCGATCTCAAACACTTGGCTGACTTCAGACTTATTGAGATTTTCTTCTTCGGGTTCTCTTCCGTTCACCTAAAAGGAGAACAAGTGTCTCAGCAGCCAACTCTGAGCGAACCCTCGCGAGGAGGAGGTGCCAATGACCCTCCACAGCTGGGCCCTGACTGGGGCGAGAGGCCAGGGACACCAGCCCAGGCTGGCCGGAAGCTCCTCGACCCACCAGACACGACCGACAGCAGACCCGGGCCCCCATCAGCCGGCCCCTCAGGCCAGCTGCCACACTGTGAAAAGGCTGAGAAACACTCGGGCCACGGCACCCAAAGAAGTCTCTTGGTGAGAGCACCTGGGCTCCTCGGCCAGCCAAGGCCCTGGGAACCACTTCCCAAAGAGGATTCCCGTTTAAATTCGGAGACTGGAAACTGCCGCAGAGCTCACAGCACAACGGAAGACAGATAAATCATCTCTGAACAAAGATGATTTGTGCAGTGACAAGGGTCAACACCGCCGCCCCCATCGTGACCAGAATGACTGGGGTTTCCTTGGGCTCACAAGAAGCTAAACCTGGATACACCAAGTGACAGCAAAGCACCCCCAAAACACAGCAAGACAGCTCTGCTCTGCTCTTACTGGAAGAGGACTTGTAAAACTGTGTTTCCACGACTGAAACAAGATCTGATGGGCAGCCAAGGCTGATGCCACAGAACAGGAAGTGTGAGAGTGGCCGCAAGTTTCTGGCTGTGTTTCCTACGTGCACTAAGCATGGCTACACCTACACAGAATGGACATTTGAAACAGAGCATTTTTTTTAACTGAACCCTCAATTTAAAAAAAAAAAACTGGTGTTAATTGATGTGATTAATCCAATCATGAGCAACTTTGTAACTGTATCTTCACCGTGATTCAATTTTTTTTAATAATAAGTAGTCTAAACAAAAACCATTAATACTGGGGTTGGAGTGATAGCACAGCGGATACGGTGTTTGCCTTGCATGCGGCCCGACCCGAGTTCAATTCCCAGCAATCCATATGGTCCCCCGAGCACGGCCAGGAGTAATTGCTGAGTGCATGAACCAGGAGTAACCCCTGTGCATCGCCGGGTGTGACCCAAAAAGCAAAAAAAAAAAAAAAAAACCTTTAATACTAATTGTAATTCTGGGGACTGGAGAACGGGGAGGACATTTGCCTTCCAGGTGGACAACCGGGGTTCGATCCCCGGCATCCCATATGGTCCCCTGAGCAACGCCAGGAGTAACCCCTAAGCATCACTGGGTTTGGCCCAAATGGCCAAAACCAACCAAAAAATCAATAAATAAGAGTGTAATCCTGGGGGCTGGAGAGTACAGCGGGCAAGGCATTTACTTCGCACACGGCTGACCCATGTTTGATCCCCAGCACCCCATATGGTCTCCCAAGCACCTAGAGGAGTGATTCCTGAGCACAAAGCCAGGAGCAACCCTTAAAGCACTGGCACACACGTGCATGCGTGTGTGTGTGCGTGCATGTGCATGCATGTGTGTGTTGGGGGAAGACAGAGAGAGACAGACACAAACGGACAGAGAGCCAAGAGAGGAGAATCAGTTCCTAGGAAGTGCTTGGTGGTGGCGGCACGGGGCCACGTGTTCTGGCTGAGCCTGGACCAGGCCTTGGGGGTGCTGGGGCTCAAACCCAGTCGGGCACACAAGGAAGCACCTCCCCAGTGGCCCATCTCCCCCGGCCCACACACTGTTCGGTAAACGGGTGCGGGACTGTGCTGAGGAGGGCGGCCTCCTTTACCTGTCGATTCCTCGACACACCTCAGTGCCCAGAGAGCACTCCAAGGCAGGGCTGAGGCGAGGGCCCCTGGGTGCTGGGGCCGGACCCGAGTCAGGCCAAGTGCCCAACCACAGTACTCCCTCCAGCCCCGACGTCTCTCTTGCTCCTTAAAGAGCTTTCAGTTTTAGATTTCTACATCCAAAAAGTAGGCTCCAATGTCTGCTTCATCCGTTTCCTTTCGATCGCCTGGGGACAAGCACCCTCGCACGCGGCTACTTAACTTGTGGGAGGGGAAGAGAAATACGGGGGGAGGGCAAACACCTGCGACTGCTGCCAAATACCACACACGCCCCTCCGGCCCGCCCGCCTGCCATGTGCGCCCCGGGCACCACCACTCGCTCGCCAGCCCTGGAGTCCGAGAAAACCCCCATCACCCAGAGAGCCTCGGTTCCAGGCCAGCACTCTCGGACTCACGCCATCCTCTGTCAGTGCTCCGCTCTCTGCCACTCGGGGTGGGACAGAGAATCACTGATTCGTCACCCGAATTCAATGAAAGCAGAAAGTAGACTAAAGAAATTGTGTGTGGGGAGGGTGTTTGCCTTGCACGCGGCCGAACTGGGTTTGATTCCCAGTCTCCCACAGGGTCCCCTAAGCACTGCCAGGAGTAACTCCTGAGTGCAGAGTCAGGAGTAACCCCTGTGCATTGCAGGGTGTGACCCAAAAAGAAAAAAAATTGGCATGTGCCCAGCCATGCGTGGCCTTCTTTAGACATGGTATGTCAGGGTTCAGGAGGGGTTGGGGCTATACCCTGATACCCGACATGGTCCCTCACATCCACAGGAGTGATCCCTGAGAACAGAGCCAAGAATAAGCCCTGAATGTGGTCCCAAAATCAAAGCAGAAAGAAGGAAGGAAGGAAGGAAGGAAGGAAGGAAGGAAGGAAGGAAGGAAGGAAGGAAGGAAGGAAGGAAGGAAAGAACAAAGGGCCGGAGCAAGAGCAGAATAGGGCAGCAGGGAGGGCGTTTGCCTTGCTCACGGCTGACCTGGGTTCGATCTCTGGCACCCCACAAGGGCCTCCACGTCCGCCCGGAGAGATCCCTGAATGCAGAGCCAGGAGTAAGTATGGAGCAGCACGGCTGTGGGGCCCCACACTCCGAACATGCATGCGCACATACACACGAGACCCACAGAACGAACTATATTCACAATAAAAGCGCTGGATTTTCATTCTCCCCACTCGAGACCGAAGGTCTCCCTTCCCCCCAAGGCACACAGTCTGCCCCGCGCTGGCGGGTGCCCCTAGGAGCTGTTCCTGCCCCTTCCACACTGCCCTCTTCCTAACGGCCGGGAGCTGGCTCCTACGCACGCGACAACCGTCCCGCTAAGCCCCGGCATGAATGCGAGGAGGCGGACCGAAGCTCAGCCCTAAGTTCAAGCTTTCCCAACGCAGGGCCTTTGCATAGGCAGCTCCTCCCGCGGGCCTGAACTTCCCCTTCCCTGCGTGCCCTCCCCAGGCCCAGTTCCAGCTAAGCCGTCCTGAAGGCACCATCATTACTGCCCCATCCTTTTTTTTATTTCGGGGTCACACCCATCAGTGCTCAGGATCACTCACAGTGGTGCTCAAGGGGCTGTGTGAAGTTCCGGGGTCAGACCAAGGTCAGCCAAGTGCAAGACCAGCTCCGTGACCCCTGTACACTCTCTCCGGCCCCAAACGGGACCGTTTTATACTTACATAATACGCACTACTTTTCCATCCCAGCACTGGCTGGTATTCTTACTAACACTGGCTGCACTCACCCGGGCGGGGAGGAGGAGCTGGGGCATGGGGACCCACACAGACCTGTCATCAAGGCCCCACACAACACCCGCCTCGGAGCAGAAACTCCTGGGAGAAGGCGGACTGTGCCACGCCGTGCAGTGACAGGGTCACGTGCGATCTCCAACTCCCTAACGCTGCAAGCTGAGTCGGGCACCCGCCTCCAGGTGGGGAACTTGACCGTGTGCATTACTTTGAAATTCCACCTTTCGAACTGCAGGTCACAGACACAATCAGAAGAACTCAGGTTCTTCACTGTTTTCGTTCATAGCAAGAAAACTGCAAGCCTACACAACTTAAGTCTTTACTGTTGAAACAAAACAAAAGTCTTCACACAATGGAAAGCTTTGCAGCCACTTAAAAAGTAAAGGAAGAGAAAAAGTGTGTGTGGGGGGGGGGACAGGCAAAGCAATAGCACAGCGGGGAGGGCGTTTGCCTTGCACTGGGCCGACCCAGGTTTGATTCCCAGCATTCCATATGGTTTCCCAAGCCCCGCCAGGAGTGATTCCTGAGTGCATGAGGCAAGAGTAACTCCTGTGCATCACCTGGTGTGACCCAAAAAAGCAAAAAAAAAAAAAAGCAAAAAAAAAGGGGCGGGGAGGGATTTTATCTTTGTGAAACTGTTTCTTGAAAAACTGAAAAGGGCTGAAAAGATAGCACCGCGGGGAAAGCGCTTCCCTTGCACAGCTGACCTGAGTTCAACCCCTGGTACCCCATATGGCCCCCCCCAAACCACCAGGAGTGATTCCCAAGTGCAGAGCCAGAAGTATACCCTGAGCATAGTTGGGTGTGCTCCCCACCCACCCACCCCCCCCAAAAAAAAACAACAAATTATATTCGGGAATTATTTTTTTCAGTTGGCATCTCCTTCTGGATTAAACAGAATCATGAAATCGTATTTCTTATTCAGTAAGTTTCTCCTGAATTTTGGTGACCAAACTACTAATGTTGTTTCTGTTGTTGTTGCTTTTGGGGGGAGAGGAGGGGAGGGGGGATGCCACACCCAGTGGCGCTCAGGGTTTACTCCTGGCTCTGCACTCAGGAATCACTGCTGAAGGGTTCAGGGGGCCATGTGGGGGGCCGGGTATCGAACGTGAGTTGGCTGCATACAAAGGAAGTGCCCTGCCCATTATACTACCTCTCCTGTGATAAAAATACTTTACCAAAATATTCACCAGCGCTCTGGTCCTTCAGAAGCATGGAGTCACCAACTTCTAGATACTAAATTCCTACTTAGTCACAGAGGACTAAAGCTCATCACAGCCGTTTTAAAACATGACTCTGAATTCTACAATACATTTCTCATTTAAAGTGGCATCCTCAACCACTGAGAAGTACTCAAGCCACTGGACAGCATATGTGAAATGGTTGGAAAGGGATATTCTTAGTGCTGGAGGGATAACACGGCTGGTACGGCATCTGCCCGGCGCATGGCCAACTTGGGTCTGATCCCCGGCACCCCAAGCACCATCAGGAGTGATGCCTGAGACAGAGGAAGCCAGAAACACCTGAGATGTGACCCATTTTTTAAAAAAAAAATGTATTTCACTTTGCAAATTCTGGCTTAATAAAAAAAAAAGGGAAGTTTTGGGGCTGGAGTGATAGCACAGCAGGTAGGGCGTTTGCCTTGCACGCGGCCGATCCAGGTTTGATTCCCAGCATCCCATATGGTCCCCCAAGCACCACCAGGAGTAACCCCTGTGCATCGCCAGGTGTGACCCAAAAAGCAAAAAAAAAAAAGGAGATTCCCAGTCTTCCGAACGGGCTCTGCCTGTCAGTGCGGAGAGCGCCCGCGCCCAGACGCTGAGAGCCCAGCAGGGCCTTCCATTCATCGGGCTAGTGAGGAGAACACGTGCTCGAAGTGTGAGGTCCTGGGTTCAATCCCCAACCACACAGAGGAGAAAGGAGACGCCAGCCCCCAGAGGAGACCCCACTGCGCGGAGGGGCAAACAGGAAGAGGCAGTGAGGCGTCCCTGGTCTGGCCCCAGGGAGTCCCCAGCCCACAGTGCTCAGTCGAGTAACAGAGAGGGAACCACCGTGGGAGGACCAAGCACTCCCTCGACAGCTGTCTCACTGAGAAAAAGCACGGTCGGTCAACATGGGCGCCAAGAAACTGAGACCAAAACTATAAACCCTGGTAGATTCTGCACCGAGGAACTAATCCACACGCTCTTCACAACCCTACTGAGTCACGATCTTCCCAACTGCCACTCAAAACGCAGGTGGAAAAGAAGCCATGAGACCTTCTCCCTGAGACAGTTGACAGGAGGGGCCACTGCAGGCATCAGCAAACAGGAGGCCACAGGGACTGAACCCAGGACTGCCCGGCCAGGCCCACACTCCGGCCCGCGGGCCATCCGCCTGGTCCCATCAGACACACTGTCAAGAGGGAGGAGTCAGGAAAGCTACTGGGTACGAAGTGCAGTGACCCATGAAGAGACAGCACTCGGGGGTTCAGAGATGGTAAAGGCATCCCACACTCGCTGTCCCCGTGCCCACCCTGGTCTGGTCCCAAGAGCCACACGCCCACGATCCCCCCCCCGCCCCAGCTACCGGGAGCGACCCCTGAACAGAGCCAAGAATGGCCCCTTAGTCTTCTGGATACGACCCCAAAACCCTCAGTAAGTGAATGAACAAACGAACGAATCAGTATTTTAGGTGAGGATAATTCAAAGGGCCGGGGGTACATATTCTGCTTGTGTGAGCCCCGGCACGTGCATGGCCTCCTGAGCACTGCCAGAGGGGTCCTGGGCACCGAGACAAACCAGCACTGTGCGGAAGGAAGGGAAGGACGGAGGAAAGGAGAAAGGGAGGGAAGAGGGAGGAAAAGAGGGAGGGAAAAGGAACAGAGGGAGGGAGGGGGAGGGAAGGAGGAGGAAAGTGGAAAGAGGGACGGGGAGGGGGAGAGGAGGAGGGGGAGGGGGAGGCAGGCAGGCAGAGAGCGAGGGGTGCATCTCAGGCGAGCCCACAGGAGCCGCTGCCCCCAGCACCCACCTCCAGCCTCTCTGGCGGCGGCTCGTTCTGCAGAATCCTCAGCGCCTTGGCAGCGGCGTCGTGCTTGGCTGCCTGCCGGGTCTTGCCTTTGCCATTGAACTGCTGTCCTCCCACGGAAAGTTCGACTTGGTAAAGGATCGGTGGTACTGGAAATGGGTAGAAGTACCTGGAAGCCAGGGGAGACAAGGAAACTCCAGTCAGACCGACCCGTGTGAGCAAATGCCTCCGCTCTGGGCCCTGATCCCGGCGCCGTGCGCTTGGCCCTCAGGTCCTGATCAACAGATTCAGAGAGTCAGTCCAGCGACACTAGATTTGCACTGCCATTCGGTCACAGCAAATACTGCTCAGCAATTCAAATCTGGGCTCAACAAATACAAGGGCCGCTTACTTATAAACCCTGGTAGATTCTGCACCAGCTCATTCTACACGAGCTGCTCAACAAAATCCCAAATAGACGGGCTCTGGCTGGGCACTTCACCTGCGGTTTTCGATCTGAGCACTGCGCCTGCGAGTCCCTACAGGAATCTGAGTTTGCACATTCACTGTTTCTGCGGGCCCCTGCTCAGCTGTGTGCGCGTGTGGTGGGTATGTGTGTTGGATGCAGGACAGGGAATGCAGTGAACCCAGCTGTGCTCAGGGTTTGCTCCTGGCAGTGCTCAGGAGACCATGTGGCACGTGAGGGGAGAGCCCTAACCACTGTGCTATCCTCCCAGGCCCACTGTAGTAGGCTGACAATCTTAAAAACAAAAACCTCTGAGAAAGGATCTTGGACTCTGAAAATCCTAGCCGCCTACAGCCCCGCAGAGTCTGGTCTTACATTCCAAGGAAGGTGTTTCCAAAATGGCCCTTAGCCTCCCCCCAGGGAAAGGAAATGACGATACACATTCCGATCAAAAACCTATCAATGTCTTCTGACGGCCACAGGTTTTAAGGCACGGCATTCTTAGGTTTCGATCAATCATTTACTCTACGTGCACTGCAAAGCACAGAAATTCAAAAATCAAAAGAGTCTCTCATCCCTTCTCCCACCACCTCACAGTTCCACTTTCTCTTTTTTTCCTTTTCGGTTCTGGGCTGTGGCTGGTGGTGCTCAGGGCTTGCCCCCGGCAGGGCCGGGGCACCAAACACGGGTCAGCAGCACCCAAGGCAAGTGCCCTAACACTGTACTATCGCTCCGAACCCTTCTCACATCTTTTTTGTTTTTTTTTTTTCTGGGGGGGGGTGGTAGAGGCAGGGGTGGTCCACACACCTAGCAATGCTCGGGAATCCCTCCTGGCAGTGTTCAGGGGACCACGTGGGATGCCAGGAATCAAACTCAGGTGAGCGAGGCAAGGTCCCTCCCCCCGCCATCTTTTATTCGGTTTGGTTTGGTTTCTGAGCCACATCTGGCAACACTCAGGGGCCCCCTCCTGGCTCTGCACTCAGGAAACAGTCATGGTGGTGCTCAGGAACCATTTGGGATGCCGGGGCTCGAACCCGGGTCAGCCTCGTACAAGACAGGCACCCTACCCACTACTATCTCTCGCTGGCCCCACATTTCTAAGTAAATTTCTTTAAATAAAACTATTTTATTTCACTTTTTTTTTTTCTTATAAAGAGTGATCTTTGGCCCAATCGGTGGGGGCAGGAAAATGCGGCCTCGTGATGAATGAGAAACAGGCTCTGGCCCTTTCCGTTAACAAGAATTAAGAATACCTCAAGACATGATTGCAAAGTGCCCAGTACAGTTAAGTCTGACACTCGGCAGGCCCGCAGAAGGCCACGAAAGTCCCCCCTCCACAACCTTTCAGTTCATCACTCCGCGCAAGGATCGTGTTCCTTTTCCCGGAGTACTTTACCTGGGGGGGTAAGCACCGCCTCTCATGTTGTAGTTGTAGGTGGACTGCATCCGGGAGTAAGGGTCAACAGGCTTATACATTGGTTTTTTTCCAAGTTTCATGCACAGTGCATTGAGCTCTACAGTAGGGGTTATGCTTTCTGCAACACAGAAACACAAAGAACTTCGTTTGTTTTCTTCTTCCTGACAGATAAGTGACCACTACTAAGATTAAAGAATAGCATGCTCTTTCCTTAATGGATTCATGACACGCTCCATGAAAGGGCCTAAGGGCTTCATCGCTAGGCATCGGATCAGGATATCCTAGTCAAGAGTTCCAGTTTAGAAGGAGCAACAATTCGACACAGATGCTATCGGTGAGAGCAATACATTCCAACCGTCAGGCATCCCGGGACATACCAAATGCTGTGACTACAAAATCCCACAAGCCTACCCAAATTCTTGATGGAAATACTTAATCTACGTAACTTAAGCTGTACTGGCCTTCTGGTTATGTTACTGGCACACACCCCCGAGGATGCTTGCACAAACTATTTCCTAAGACTGCCTTTATTAAGTAGTAACAAGATGCAAGACACGAAGCAAAGCTTGGGAGGGACGTTTCTTGCCCAGAGGAGCTCAGAGCAAACTCAACCGAAGACACCACAACAGACGTGTACTGTAAGCAGAGCGCGTGCAGAACGAGTGGGCGGAGATGAGTAAATTCTGGAAAACGCAGGCAAGGTTCACAAGATACTGATTTATTTCCAGTCTCAGTCTTTAGAGTGAGGCCTGTCTGACCTCCAGTAAGACTCATTCGGGAGCAAGTACATTTGGGATCATGTACTAGAAGGTTCGGCTTTAGAAAGTGACACAGGCTTTTCATTTTCCAAAATTTTTCCCTCTCAGCTTACCCAATTCACAAACCCTCGAAAATCATTTAAGAAGCCCACCTGGCAAGACGGGGTGTGAGCACACAGTGACATTTAAAAACAACACTTTCGTATCAAACACAGAACAGCACTAGCAATGGCAAAGTTGGATTCAAAAGCACGCACACAAAAGTTTAAAAAAAAGAAACAAACACTTCCAAATGCCTCGTAAGGGTGTATGCAGAGGAATATAAAAATAACTGAATTCTGGATCATAACTAGTCAGCCTAAATTTAGTGCAAGAATCAGTTTTCTGAGAGTATCTTTGCGTCTGCGAAATCAGAGGGTCAATGAGTAACCAACCTCTCTTACTCACTTCAGAATTAAATTTTTACATAATTCCTATTGCTGCGTTTTAAAATATAACCGGAATCATTTTCAGAGCAGCTCTGACCCATCCAAGTTATCTGCAGCCAAAGCTTATCTGCAGAAGGTAACAGATCTGGAGGAAGGTCACCATCTAGAAAAGCAAATGACAGAGAGGGGTGACCAGGTACTCCCAGACTCACTCCTGGAAAGCCGCTCGCTTCACCCCGCCCCGCCAGTGGTTCCCAACCTTCCGCCAGGCTCTCGGGACGGGCAAGCCCCTGCTGCAGTCCCCTGTCTGGATTCTAGAGGCGTCAGCGACAGATATGTTAGTTCTCTGTTAGTGAACAGGAGACACGGGACTGACAATCATGGTTTCTGGTTAGCAACTCCCGCTAAGGCCTACATTCTTAAGCATTCTGGACCGCCTTTTCGGGGGGGTGGGGGGGAGATGCCTTTTCACGGGGCTTTTCTAAGTCTTCAAAATCAGGGGGACACGGCTAGTCAGCCTGTGGGACGCGGAGGGCCAGGGCCCTGAGATTGGGAACCACTGCTTCGGGGGAGGTGAATGGGGCGTGAGAAGCATTTGCCACTGGTAGTGCGGAATCTGTGCTTTCAGAATCAACAAATCAGGTAAGAAAGAATTCATATACATACTAAAAGGGTACCTCTAGACACACTTTTTAAAGGAACCTGGCTTGGCCCACGCATAATACCTGGATTCCTTCCTTCGCTACGAAAAGGGCGGACTATAGGTTTAGGAAATTTTGTTCCTTCCAAAGCTTTGGCAGCAGCCGTGTGTTGGGCTTTTTTAATACTAGTTCCTTCAGCTTCCCAGTTCTGATCGCCAAGTGTTAGCTGTACTGTAAACACCTACAAATGAAAATTGTGAGCTCTCAATTCAGGAAACCTGATGTCGGCTTCAAATGTCACCTGGACCTTGAACATTTCTTACGGTCCTGATTTAAAAGGCCTGGCCATCATCTTCGTGATTTATCCTTCCACCCCACTATTTGCTGTTTTCACAAACCCCGTGATATACCATTGACTAGCATTGCACAGCACTCCATGAAAAACCCATGCTTTGGAAGACGGGAGTAACCTACTGAAATTTTTAAGTATCTCATTTATCGATTAAAATACCAGGTACAGATTAGAAGTCAACCAAATGGAAATTCTATTCCAATTACTTCTCATGAAAGATACGTAACAAACTTGATTTGGACACACCGTAGTTTCTTACACAAATTAAAGCATTTGTTTTAATGCTGTCCTGTGTTTGTAGATTCTTTATCTGCAAATACCATCATGAGGAAAACAGAACAAATTTGGGAATGACATACAGATTCTGAAATGCTGCTTTCCACTTTCCTCAGATAGTACTATTTAGATCCTGCCTCCACTTTACAGAAAGGAAGAGAAAAAAAAAAACAGACCCACAGTAATCAAAGATCTAAAAATGTTTGAGCTCTGAATAGGTACAAGATGGTACAGCTACTTCTGACCTTGAACGCGGGTGATGGCAAGCCTGCCTTCCTTCTTATTTTGTTTTGGGGTCAAATCTGACAACGCTCAGGGGTTACTCCTGGCTCCACACTCAAGAATCAGTCCTGGCAGTCAGAGAACCAGACTGAATGCCAGGGGTCGAACCCAAGTCAGCAAAGTGGAAAGCAAGCACCCCACCCACTGGACTATCTCTCCAGCCCGTTTTCCTTTATAAAACATAAAAGGCAACCCAAGACCACATTTCATTCTTAAAATTAGATCACTTAATACTATCAGTTGGGGCTGGAGCGATAGCACAGCAGTAGGGCGTTTGCCTTGCACGCAGCCAACATGGCCGACCCGAGTTCGATTCCTCCGCCCCTCTCGGAGAGCCCGGCAAGCTACCGAGAGTATTCGATATGCCAGACACAGTAACAACAAAATCTCCAATGGAGACATTACTGGGCCCACTCAAGCAAATAGATGAACAACGGGAGGACTGTGACTGGCTGACTGACTGTGACAGAATACTATCAGTTGGGGCTGAAGCGATTGCACAGCAGGTAGGGCATTTGCCTTGCATGCAGCCGACCCGGGTTCGATTCCCAGCATCCCAAAGGGTCCCCCGAGCACCACCAGGAGTAATTCCTGAGCGCATGAGCTAGGAGTAACCCCTGTGCATCGCCAGGTGTGACCCAAAGAGCAAAAATAAAATAAAATAAAAAACTAACAGTATTAAACTAACCTAACAAATGGGGGGGGGGGGGAAGTGACAGTACAGTGGGAGTACAGTGGGTAGGGTGCTTGTCTTACATCGGCCAATCCGGGTTCAATCCCCAGCACCCCATTTGGTCCACTGAGCCTTACCAGGTGTGATTCCTGAGCGCAGGGCCAGAAATAAAGGAGCCCTGAGCATTGCCAGGTGTGGCCCAAAAATAAAAATCAAACAAAAATCAAGCCTAACAAATGAACAACAGCTAGTATAGGAGATGAGGTATTTGCCTCGCATGCGGCCGCCCCCATCTGAATTCCCAGTCCCCTGAGCACCGCCCGTGGTCACTCCTCAGCACAGCAGACCCGCCCCAAGTCCCGTGGGCGGCCAAGCACCCGTACCCAGGGGCGAACACCCCCAGACAGAATAACCCGCAACCACAGGGTCCTAACGAAGCTCCTGAAGGACTGTCACACACTCCCAAGTCTTAGATGCACCACTCCAGAATTTCGCAAGGCCAATTTGATTTTTTTACTTTTCTGGTTTTACCAATTCATATCCTTTGATTTCATTTACAAATAACTCCCATGAGAAGCCATGAAGCGCATCTAAGACATTTCAATTTGGTGGCTAAGAGGATGGGCAACCGCCTTTTGAGCTGGTTTTTCTAGCAGGTCTCAGGACTCCCTCCGTGAGTGAGAGGTAAGCCTCCATACCCCTGCAAACGTGAAGGGTCTCCTGAATCCTCCACAGCTCCCAAGCTGACTCAGTGATGCCCCCACAGCATGAACTCAAACTCTGCTGGGCCCGAGACGCCAAAAGCAGAAACTGCAGTGCTATGCGGGCCCTCATCCTGCTTGGGACCCTGCAGTTAAAAGACACTGAAGGGGAAATGCAATTTTTTTTTCTTTTAAACGGGCACTGACTTCACTTTAACAAATGCCTTTCTCAGAGGCGTTTCCATCCCATGCTGTTCAGCTACTGCCTCTGTGCCGAAGGCTGCAAGCAAGGTGAGAATCTTGGTATGACAGACTTCAAAGTACACCAGCTCGCTTTTAATTTGCCTAAACACCTTAAATAGATAAAAATCACCTAAGGGAAATAACTTTTACAAATTCCCTTGTAAAAGAAACCCAAAGAAACTGGTTGGGTACAGACTCAACTGTCCAGGGGCGAGAGCACAGGGGCAGGGCAGTGCCTTCCTCCCACCCAACCCAGATTCAAGCCCCAGCACCCCAGATGGTCCCGAGTCCCACCAGGAAGGACTCCTGAGCAGAGAGAGAGCCAGGAGTAAGCCCTGAACACTGCTGGAGGTGGCCCAAAAACAAAAAACAGAAATAATAAAATAAATAAATAAATAAATAAAAGGACTGAACATACAGCCAGCCAAATTTCCTAAAGCACCAACATTCAAATAAGGAAGTACATGTTTTAAGTAACAAAAAACAGTTAATAAAGGGAATCTCAAAGTTAAGGTCTGCAAAAACCAATCCTGTAGAAAACAAACTTAAAGAGTTAAAGAAAATGACTAGCTGCTGGCCACATTTCAGATATATTCATACTTCCAAATATTAAAGCTAGTTTTCAGTGAGAAATGTTTTTCTTATCTGTGTTTTTTGTCGGTTTATTGCTTTGGTTTTTGTTGCTTTTTTTGGGGGGTGGGGCGGCAATTCTTACGGGTTACTCGAGGCTCTGCATTCAGACACTGCTCAGGGGAGCATACAGGAAGGACGCTGAGGACGGAACCCGGGTCCTCTACTGCAAGGCAAGCGCCTGACCCACTGTACTCGCTCTCCGCTCTCCAACCCCTACTGTGATCATAACAGCTATCAGGGGGTTTTTTTGTTTTTGTTTTTCTGGTTTTTTTTTTTTTTTTGCTTTTTGGGTCACACCTGGCGATGCGCAGGGGTTACTCCTGGCTCTGCGCTCAGGAATTACCCCTGGCAGTGCTCAGGGGACCATATGGGATGCTGGGAATTGAACCTGGCTCGGCCGTGTGCAAGGCAAACGCCCTACCCGCTGTGCTATTGCTCCAGCCCCAACAGCTATCAGTTCTTAAACATCTGCCTGAGTCAGGCTTTGTATACTCATATGTCAACACACAGTCTCTTGAATTCTCCCTAGATATTTGGTAGGTTTTATTATACTGTTTTACAGATGAGGAAACTGAGGTGGGAAAAGCAGCAACTTGCCCAAGGTCACACAGCTAGTGAAAGAGCTTCCAATTCAGGGTCTGTCTCCAAAGGCTCCCGTAACTGCTGCTACGCTATAATGCCACCTACAGCTGGTTGAACTTTGATCCACAAGGGGGAAAAAACAATCTTTCATCATTCAAGGCTTGAGGTTTGCAAGTCAACTAAAGTAAGGCTTAGGAGAGACCACCTGGGGTCAGAGCACTAGTGCAGAGCAGGCAGGGTGCTTGCATTGCGTGAGGCATCCTACAGGGTCCCCCAAACACTTCCAGGAGTGATCCCAGAGCACAGAACCAGGAGTAAGCCCTGAGCACCATCAGGTGTGGTCCAAAAGCTGTCCCCTGCCCCCCCCCAAAAAAAGAGACCCTTCATTCTCAAAGTTATTATCTTTACTGCAAGGCTAGAATCAGAAGCAGAAGGTCCAATTCCTATCTCTCCTAGCACAACTGCAAAAGATAAGGCTACATATGCAAATATTTAAATTCCAAGATATACATACACCAGCACATACCAAACAAGACGAAATTCCTGAATAAGGAATAGCAAAATTTCAAATTACAGTCTTTCGATCTAAGGTAAGGGGAAAGACAAGGATAACCAGAATCAGCGACAACCCAAAATACCCTTTGAAACTGATCTCTCATCTCCAAACCTTCTCCCTGGATCAGTAGCAAGTGGCAAAACTGATTTCCCACTGAGCCCCTCTAGCTGACCCCACAAACACGCACAAAGGACCCAGAGGCAGCTGCAGCCAAGAGGCCGGAGCCCAGAAAACTCGGGGGAAATAGTACACAGGTACTGGAGAATTGTTTCCACTCAAAATCCTAAACAACCAGACACTAACTGGAGCCTTAAGAGCCAAACAGCCCCCCCCCCCCCCCGCCACCCCCTAAGGAAGCTTTTCTCTGACCCCTTCAGTAAAGATGAGGGAAAACAGGAAGCAACTAGTTAAATAAGTGCTTTGGCATCGCTTCTTAAGACCACCCCAGGAGTTTGAAAATACAGATTCTGAATGACGGCACCACTGTCAACATATAAAAAGACAGAGAACATTCCTAGTGGGTAGAAATGCACAAGCAGGATGGGCAATATTTACCTTACAGTGAGCTGGACCTTGCTCACGCAAAAGCTTATACTCAGGCTGAATCTTGTTGAAACGGGCTAACTCATTCACAAGACACATTGGGGTTTTCTCTTTGGGGTGTGCCATGTTAGAAGGAACTGAAAAATAACGTAAGAGCATTGAAGTCAACTAGAAGTAAGAGTCTGCGGCTCTCCCGGGGATGGGGAAAAAAGAAAGAAAACAAAACTGAGGGTCGAGAAACAAAACTGCAGCCACACAAGGGGAGAAACGCCAGGCCCTGCCTGCCCCCCTGGGGGATGCGTCTTCTGAAGAGAAACAAAACCGAACCAAGCGGCAAACAGCACTGGGAGTCCGCTGAGGCACTGCTACCATGACCCGTCCGGGGACGCCGTGGGGTGGACTGAGCCAGCCGCTCACACAGCTGCACACACCCGGCCCACGTCGCAAACGAACTCAAACCAGGCCGCCACCCTCAAGGCTTACCTACTTCTGACAACTGTGAGTATAATAAACAGGTCTTGGCGGGCAGGAATCTTTTTTAAAAAAGTCAGGAGGATGAGGATAGAAGAAAAAGCAATAAATCCCAAAGAACTCAAACAGTCGAGGCCGTTTTCTTCTTGTGACAGTCTCGAATGGGAAATTGGGGGAAAACGAAGTCCCTAGCAAACTAAGTCAAGAGAGAGTGCGGTCTCAAGGGCTTGCCCTGCGTGTCGCCTACCCCAACCTCAATCTCGGGCAGCACCCGTGATCCCCAGAGCACCCCCGGGGGTCACTCCTGAGCACAGAGCCGGGAAGAGCTCCTGAGTACCACGGGATGTGGCCCCAAAACAAAACATAAGAACTCTGTCCAAGGAGTCTAGAGGTGCTGGGAGCCAGGCAGCTGACAGCGTGAGAGGGGAACAGTTTCAGACAAAAAAAAAAAAAAACTTTTTTTTTTTGTTTGTTTAAAAGCTAACTGGGGAAGCAGAGAGAGAGAAATTGAGGCAGATTAAGATAAGTGCTCAGCAAAGAAGACAGGCGCCCCCAGGGCCGAGGGAGCCAGCTCCCACAGCGTGCAGGTGCCAACACCAGGGGTCCCACTGCATGGTGCAGGGACCTGGGCCCGGGGGGCGGGGGGGGGGGGGGGTGGCAACCACACTCTCAGACCCAACTCGCAGAGGAAAGAAAATGAGGACCAAGGGGCAACTGCAAGGAAAAAGGGGAGACAGAAGGAGGGCGAGAGACCCTTGTGGGGTGACTGGCACAGCCGCCTACATGGACCCCCCTAGATTTTCACTGGCTGTGCCACTCTGGATATACTGGGGCCAAGAATAGTTTTGGTGGTGGTGGTGGAATTTAGTCTTTTTTCCGCCCTTCCTCCCCAAAATGTTTCGAGTCTTTTCTAATCAAGAAGTACCTTCAATTCACTTTCCTAGAAATCAGATTTGAATACTTCTAAACTTTTCTTTTTTAAAAATCATCACCAGGTGTGACCCAAAAAGCAAAAAAAAAAAAAAAAAAAAAAAAAAATCTCTAAATCTCTGCTTTATGGGGCCAGAGAAGTCACACAGGCTTAGGGAAGGCGCTGCACACGCCCGCCGACCCCCGGCACCCTGTGTGGTTCTCTGAGCACCGCCAGGAGTGATCCCTGGGCCAGGAGCAAATCGTGCGCACAGCCGGGTGTGGTTGTGTGGGGCAGGGAACCTCTGCCTTGCTCGATTTCTAACTGTCCCTCACTGTAACAGCTATACTACTTCTAAAATCTCAGACTTACTTGTTCAAGATGAAAAAAAAAACATGTATTTTTTTGCTTTCCAGTAAACCTGGCGGAACTTTCCCATGAAAAAATTTCCAAAGTGGCTTTGCCGTTAACGCTCCCACGGAGCCACCACTTTATAGAGTTTCCTGGTTCCGTCTCCATTCTCTCTTCACTGGGAACTGGCTGTCGACTGAGGCCTCAGCGCCACGACACGCAACCGAGAGACGCGTCCCTCCCTATGGCCGTCACCTATCCGCTCAGAAGACAGGCTCAGCAAACATCCGCGACGGAGGACACTCGGTTTCCGGTGCTTACCTGCAGCTGCACTGGTCGAGGTGGCAGATGCAGAGGGTAGGGCAGAGTTTTGGACAGGCCTGCCTGCATTCTCAGAGGGCAGAGAGCTAGCAGGAGGAGGAATACTCAGCAAAGGCGGGGAGAGAAGAGACTGGTTCCGGGTCAGAACGGGGCTCCCTGAGAGAGCAGCGGGTGGGTTCTGAACTTGCACTTGAACTTGAGACATGGTCACTTTCAACAAAAGTGAACAACTGCAGGAAAACAGCTTTCAGTGCAGGTTAATGCAGTGCTATGAAGTATAAAGCGCTACCTAAAAGTTGCGGGGAAAGAAAATAAAAAGGCACATTATAGAGGAGATCCGTAATTGCTGACCGTCAGTCACTCTGGCGTCTGTCACGGGCCTGGAGCCTCGGGACAGGCCTCGCCCTCGGCGACAGCCACTTTCTCGCGAGTCTCTCGAGTCTCTCCATGCTCTTCGCTGACTCATAGGACTCAGAGGCTCCGCACGTTTAAGCCAGACTCACAGGGCATAATTACGTTGACTGTTGAATACTGAGAACTGAAAATTATGCTACATGGCCCAAAATGGAAATTTTAAAATACGGAGACGTTTCCTAGAGTATACAGGATATTGTGAATGCTTCTCAGATGCTGACAGTAAGCGGAGCTCCTCACCGCACTTATGGGTGACTGTGAACACAGACTCCACTCAAGGCCAGACGGAGACGGTCAATGCTGTCCTTTAAGGTGAGGGGCTTCTCGCTCTGGGCTTCCTTTCCCTTGGGAGGACGAAAGATCTACTGTCCTTTCAGTTTTGTTCCACAGTTCTTGGGCCTACTTAAGAGAACCCAACAAGAAAACTGCTGCACACGTAACAAAGATCACAATCCTGAGAAACCATCTGAGTAGCAAAGGACAGAGTAAGAGACTTGTACCATTAAAAGCAAGAGAGGGAGCGATGGAAAGAAAGAAAGGACCCCGGCTGGCCGCACGGGTGTGGCTTGAAGGCAGAAGAGGCAGTCCAGGGAGCAGAAGAGATTGCTCACTTCATCTTTTAAGTCCCTATGGCATTATTTCTAAACACATTTAAATATCTTCACAGGTCAAAAGTAAGAACAGTTCTGCTCATTTCCAAGGCCATCTTCAAAAAGCTCCAACTGTTTAAGCAAATCAGAAGTACTAAAAAAATAACCAAGAACAACTAAGACCAGAAATAGCCAAACATAGCAAAAATCGGCAAACAACAGAAATAAATTCTATAACATAGTTAGATTAAATGTTTACGTCTCGGGGAAGAAGGCACCTTTGCCTTGCGTGCAGCTAACCCCGGTTCAATCCCTGGCATCCCACGTAGTCTCCCCATAGTCTGCCAGAGTGACTTCTGAGTCCAGAGCCAGGTGGAACCCCTGAGCACTGACAGGTATAGCCCCAAAACCAAAAAAAAACTGTAAGTCTCAACTAAGATTATTTTTTAATGATCAACTAGAAAGAGATGAATGACCAGAACGCTAGCATCCTCTCTTGCTAAGAGCAAAACAAGGATCACAAACCTCGAAAGAAAACACACACACAACACCCAGCTCACTCTGAAACCTGACTGTGGCTTAGAGGCCTAAGTCTCACCTCAACATTCCACAACATCCGCGCTACTGCAGCTGTTCCAAGCTCACCTCTAGAGTCAGAGCAAAAGGAGATTCCCTGAAGACCACAAGAATGACCTTACTGAGCAAGCCGCGGTACTCGGAAGCAAGTTCAGAACCACTTATAAACCGGCTTACAAAGTGACTTCATTTCCTTCGGCTACCAAAATCGAAGTATTTTTCTCCCAATCTCCCCCCCCATCTTATTCCCTTCTTCTTTCTAAACTGTCTGGAGGGCATTCTCCTCCGCCTCCTCCAGCCCCTGGAAAACATTTCACCATACTCAAACCTTCACCCTGCCCACAGACCATAAAGTGAAACCATGCCCCAAAGCCAAGTGTTTGTTCCCCATCCCAGAAGGAGCCACCCGCCTGCCCGCCGCTGGGAGTCAGAGACGCCAGTGAATGGCCTAAACTTAGAAAGGGCGGGGTGCGGCTGGTTTCTGGCTGATGTCCCCAACAGGCCCAGTGCCAGGCCTCCAGTCAGAGAACCAAGTACATAGTTTCCAAAAGTCGAGGAAGAGAACAAGCAGGCTTCTAATCAAGAGCCCCCACCCCCGCGCCCCCAAATACTAACCTCAAGTTTATCCTGAGCAGTTCTACCTTTCTGTCAATGAAAGGTTCTTGTTGTCAGGGGCTATTCGCAGGGGCGCCTGCGATTAAACCCCAGGCCCCGAATGCAAAGCATATGCTCCAACCCTTTGAACCATCTCCTGAACCTAGAAATAAAATACTCTAACTCTCCTAACATAGCTGTGCACTTTGCAAAATCTTAATACTAAAATACTTAATACGAATACTAAAATTCAATTTAAAAGGATTCATGAGGGGCTGGAGAGATAGCACAGCGGGTAGGGCGTTTGCCTTGCATGCGGCTGACCCGGATTCGGATCCCAGCATCCCATAGGGTCCCCTGAGCGCCGCCAGGAGTAACTCCTGAGTGCAGAGCCAGGAAGAACCCCTGTGAATTGCTGCGTGTGACCCAAAAAACAAACAAACAAAAAAAAAATCATGAATAAAATCATTTGCAAATTTGAACAGTTTAGTATGTGTCTGAAAGCAATCTGAAAGATTCTGGGAAGAATCTAAAGTAGTAGTTCTCAAAAGCCGTCACGCTGTTCCAGAAGAGCAGTGAGTAACGTCTTAAGTCGAAGAGGTGGGACGCTCCCGGCATCCCTCGGGTGGAGGGTACAGAGAGGCTGTTTGGAACACATACGCCGACCAACCCACAAAATGAAACTTACTAATGCAATGAGAAACTCGTATGGCAGGAGAAGAAAAGCCCCTCTCTATCTGAGAAGGCTCACGCCACACACCCGCTGGCTGGTGGTGGTGTTCTTGTGGGTCTGGGGCTGCTTTCCTTTGTTCTGGTGTTTTGATCACACCCGGGAGTGCTCCTCTTGGGGCTTAGGCGTCCGTATGGGAAGCCTGCGAGTGAATCTGGTTTTGGCCACATGCAAAACAAGAGCCTGACCATCAGCTGTACAATCAGTTCCAGCCCATTTTTGGTTTTTTGGACCGTATGTGCTGGGTCACTCCTGGCAATGCCAGGATCAGAGTGCCAGGAACTGAACCAGCGTCGGCCCACGTGCAAGGTAAGGCTCTCAGCCCCCAGATTATCTCTCTGGACCTATACTTACATTTTACCAAAACAGGTGTTTTCTTCACCCCCCCCCCACAACTATCGCAGTTACGAAAAGAGGAGAAAGATACTGTTTACCCACATCATTTAAAAACATTAAAGCTTTTCACTATTATTATTTATAGAGATCGTAACAGCATTCAGGGGACTCATGAAATTCTGGAAGTATCTCAGAATAAGTTTTGAGGGCCACAGACAGAGCTCACAGGCCTGGAGTGTGTGCATGGCAAACACAGGTCTGGGTCCAATCCCAGGCACCACGTGGCCCCCCAAACACCACCGCCCACCACAATAGAAAAAGCAGAGTAAGACTCAAACCCGATCAGCTCAACAGTACCCTGCCATGAAGTTTAAATCCTTAAGTGGGAGCTTTTCTTTTTAACCAGTCTGCAAGCGGGTCTTCAATCCGATGAATTAGGAACACGAGAGATTTAAACGCCTTGCTGGGGCTAAGGAGACAGTTGAGAGATTAGGGCGCGGAGCAACCTGACCTTGTCCCAAGGCACCCAGCGCGCCGGGCAGAGGCCCGAGTGGCAAGCACAGCAGACCTGAGTCCAGCCCCCGGCACAGCAAAAAGAGAAAAGGAAAGCATGAAGGATGGGCAACTGGATAGGAAGGAGGGCTCGTGCCTGGCGGAAGGCTGACCCCGTTTCAAAGCCCAGCCATATCCTGTTCCCCCCCAAGTACCACCCTGGTTACTCCTGGAGAGTCAGGGCTCCAGGGCACAAAGATGCAGCCCCAACGCCCTGGGTGCGACCCAAACCCTCGCCATCAACCAAAGGAAAAGCTTGAAACCCGAATTCTGCCTTTTTCCACGTATAAGAACCACCTGTGCTTATTAAGTCTGCGCTCACTGTGTGGCTCTTTTCCGATTCCCTGCTCCAGCACAAATAAGGACTCAAAGAAGGAAAACACGAGTTCATCTTATCCTCCGATCCTAAGCTTATGGCTATACAGAAAAGCACCATTAGCTCTAATGGGCTCTTTGACAGTTACAGGTACCTCTTAATAGATTACAAATTCCAAACCCACTGAGGTTCTAATACTGGCTAGGTGATACAAAGTTCTCATAAAAATGAAAGTAACGACGGGGATGGCGCAATAGCGCAGCGGGTAGGGCGTTTGCCTTGCACGCGGCCGACCTGAGTTCAATTTCCAGCATCCCATACGATCCGCCAGGAGTAATTCCTGAGTGCAGAGCCAGGAATAACCCCTGTGCATTGCCGGGTGTGACCCCAAAAAAGCAAAAAAAAAAAAAATGAAAGTAAGGAGGCTGACGTGATTAGTACAGCAGGCAGGGAGCTTGCCTTGCATGTAGCCACTGCCGGCTCCATCCCCAGCATCCTACATGGTCCCTTGTGCACCACCAGGAACGATCCCTGAGTGCAGAACAGGATTAACCCTTGAGCATCACTGGGTGTGGCCCCAAAAGCTTAAAAAAAAAGAAAGAAAAAAGTGGCTCACGTTATAGAGACAAGCGTAGCCAGTGCAAAGTCTGGCTTCAATCCTGCCACCAGGTATCTGCACTGCCCCACCTCCAGGGACACAGACAAGGCCCTAACCAACCATCGGAGAGGACGGGGGTCAGACACTTGCCTCGCAAGCTGCCCTCGGCTGATTCCCCAGCAACACATAAGGTCACCTGGGCACCACCACTACAAAGCACAGAACCAGCCTGAGAAAGAGGACATAAGAGTTATAAACCCTTGCATGCAGCTGACCCCAGCTAGAACCCCGGCACGCACATGCACAGATCCCCAAACATGGCCAAGGGTCACTCCTGAGCAGAGCCAAACAGCCCCTAAGCACCACTGAGTATGCCCCTCCATAAAAATAAAATGGGTACGTTTTTAGGAGCAGAGACACAGTATAATGGAAAGGCACTGCATGCGACCTCCCCGGGTTCAATCTCCGGCACTGCACATGGGCCCCTGGGCCCTAACAGGAGCAATCCCTGAGCACAGCCAGGTAGGGCCCAGAAACTAACCAAAAAAGGTAATAAAATCTTCTTTCTTAGATAAAGTATCTT